TATCTGTTTTGGCTCAGTGGATAGGTCGTTGGCCTGCGAACTAAAGGGTCCCGGGTTCGGTTCCTGCTCAGGGCACATGCGGGCTGGGGTTGTGGTCTCAATCCCCAGTAGGGGGCATGAAGGAGACAGGGATGATGATTCTCATCATTGATGTTTCTATCTCTCTCTCCCTCTCCCTTCCTCACTTTCATGTACTAAAATTTTCTTGCTTTTCTTTAGGGCAAATATGTTGGTCTTAGAAGTAGTTTGAATTATAAATCTTTGGCATAGATTCACTGAATCAGCATTTTAAAAAGTGTTTCAAATGAAGACTACACTTTTACATAAAACCTTAGATTCCCTTGGATATCCACATACAACGTTTTTGTTAGGAGAAAAATTTGGGGTTTTCCTAATGGCTGCCATCTTAGTGGAAGGATTTCAAATATTGAATAGTTGTTCCTTAACAGCCTTGAGAATGATTAAAATATTTTTATTTAAAAAAGACAACATGATAAACTTTATTGTAATTGATAACAGTTATGAAAGTCTCAATGTATTTTTTTTGTACTTGAGATACAAACAGGAAAATAAAATTGAATGAATGAATGGGATTTAGAATACCCTTTATGCCACACTCTCCTTAAGCCAATTCTGGAATAAAATGGGTATAAACAAACTGGCAACTATAACTTGAATTCCTGATTCAGTGGTGTGTATTTTTTTTAATTAGAAAGAGGTTATCTTTACAAATAGCAATGGATGCAATGCAAATTTAAATTGTCCTTCAGGGTGGAGACAACAGCATTCATCCAGAGCAGATACAGGAATTAGAAAAAAGCTTTAAAATGAGACAAAGATGAGTATACCTTGTATTTCCAGAAACCAGTACTTGGTACATTCATTCACATGAAAGCAATTAAATATTTGGATGAACTGGTAAGTAGCTTACATATTTAGCATTGATTTGAAATATCATTATGTTAAAGAGATAACTTATAGAACTTGCATCTTGAGTTACCCTCTACACAACTGGGCTAAATGTTTAGAATCATTTAACATAGTATAAAGATCAAGCAATAGAAAATTATAGAATATTAGCAATGGAGTAAACTTAATAAGAACTAATTCCAAAATCATCAATTTCTAAAAAGTCTAAAAAACCAGTATCACTAGTAACCTACAACATGGAGTTTTCATCTTCATATATATGATAATATAGTTGTGTGGTAGCACATTCTCTTACATGTCCACATGCAAGATAAAACTCTTCTTGGAATTCTACTTTATAAGACACACCCATCTTTAAAGATCTAGTGGTCACACACAAGTACTAATAAAGAATTAAAGGCCCACAAAGAAAAACATGGACCAATATGAAGGGAATCACAGAAGAAACAACCTAAGTCAAAGAAATACCAGTATAAACGCAAACGCACTTCCATTTTGAGCCACAGGATGTCGTTGTTCTCCAAGCAGAGGATTCTTTTAACAAAGAAAACTACCATTATTCCCAGGATCAGAAAGATTCTCCACCTTTCCGGAGCTTTAAAGACGACAGCACACCCATATTGTTAAGATCACCTGGGACCTCAGGAATAAAGACTCGGAAGAAATATCTCAGAAGGACTACACCTTTCTACTCGCGAAATGTTGATTTACTAACCAGAATCAAGGCATGATGTTAGCTTCAGGATCAGGTGAGGAGGGAGCCCGGATTTTGCTGCTCTCGCTTCTGCTCTTCGCTCCTCAGGAGACCGGGAGCCGCCAGGTCCACTACGCGGTCCCCGAGGAGGCCACGCACGGCACCTTCGTGGGCCGCATCGCGCAGGACCTGGCGCTGGAGCTGGCGGAGCTGGTGCCGCGCCTGTTCCGGGTGGCGTCCAAGGGCCGCGGGGACCTCCTGGAGGTAAATGTGCAGAATGGCATTTTGTTTGTGAATTCTCGGATCGACCGCGAGGAGCTGTGCGGGCGGAGCGCGGAGTGCAGCATCCACCTGGAGGTGGTGGTGGAGCGGCCGCTGCAGGTGTTCCACGTGGAGGTGGAGGTGAAGGACATTAACGACAACCCGCCTGTGTTCCCAGCGACTCACAAAAATCTATTTATTTCCGAAACCAGGGCTCTTGACTCCCGGTTTCCGCTAGAGGGCGCCTCCGATGCAGATATCGGGGCGAACGCTCTGCTGACTTACAGACTGAGCTCCAATGAATACTTCTCTCTGGAAGTACCGACCCACGACGACCAGGTAAAACCGCTTCACCTGGTTCTAAGAAAACCTTTAGACAGGGAAGTCGCTTCGGAGCTCCTCTTGGTGCTTACAGCAACAGACGGGGGCAAACCTGAGCGGACGGGCACTGCAGAAGTGCAGGTCACGGTGCTGGATGCAAACGACAACGCCCCAGTATTTGACAAAGCAGTCCAGCGGGTGAAGCTACTGGAGAACACAAGGAACGGCACGCTGGCTCTTAGACTCAACGCCTCGGATTTGGACGAGGGTTCAAATGGCCACATTCTTTACTCCTTTGCAGCTGATGTCTCCCCGGATACAGCAGCAACTTTTTGCATAGAACCAGTCACCGGAGAAATAAAAGTAAATGGAAAAATAGATTTTGAAGAAACTCAGTTATGGAAGCTGCAAATAGAAGCAGTTGATAATGGAAGCCCCCCAATGTTTGGTCACTGCACCATCTTGGTAGAAGTTGTGGACATCAACGATAATGCGCCGGAGTTGCTAGTGACTTCACTCTCACTTCCTGTTCCTGAGGACGCTCTAGTGGGGACCGTCATCGCCTTGATTAGTGTAACCGACCATGATGCCGGTGTCAACGGGCAAGTGACCTGCTCGTTAACACCCCAATCGCCCTTCAAGCTGATGCCCACCTTCAAGAATTACTATTCGCTGGTGCTGGACAGCGCCCTGGACCGCGAGAGTGTGGCGAACTATGAGCTGGTGGTGACCGCGCGGGACGGGGGCTCGCCTTCGCTGTCGTCCACAGCCAGCGTGTCCGTGGAGGTGGCCGACGTGAACGACAACGCGCCGCTGTTCGCGCAGCCCGAGCACACGGTGTTCGTGAAGGAGAACAACCCGCCCGGCGGCCACATCTTCACGGTGTCGGCGCGGGACGCGGACGCGCAGGAGAACGCGCGGGTGTCCTACTCGCTGGTGGAGCGGCGGGTGGGCGAGCGCGCGCTGTCGAGCTACGTGTCGGTGCACGCGGAGAGCGGCCAGGTGTCCGCGCGGCAGCCGCTGGACCGCGAGGAGCTGGAGCTGCTGCAGTTCCAGGTGAGCGCGCGCGACGCGGGCGAGCCTCCTCTGGGCAGCACCGTGACGCTGCAGGTGTTCGTGCTGGACGAGAACGACCACGCGCCCGCGCTGCTGCCTCCGGCCCCGGGCGGCCCGGGCG